AGAAGTTTATTTGGCATCAGGTGGCAATAGTTGCCCCCTTCCACCCAATATCATCGTCAAACCAATGTATTTTCATATCTAAATGTATATCATTTAGCATCAAAAAAAAAAAGAAAATTTTAGAGATAACAAATTCAATTTAAGAGCATAAAGTGAGTGAAAGAAGGAAAATTTCCAAACCCATCCCACTAATGCAGACAGGGTGGGTTAACTCTAAAAACTCAAATATAACCATTTCTATTAAAAAGCCATAATTTTAATAAAACATCAACTTTATATACGAAAAAAAAACTATAAGTATATAAAAACTTAATACACAAAAAGACTGTATACAAATATAAACTTATTAAAAACAATATACATACACAATAGTTAATGTAGATACACCTATGAATGTATCTACATACACATATTAATAAGTGTATATATAGGTTAACAGATAGGTGGTAAAAAGAAAGGAAAAAAAAACAATATTTTTTTGCCTTTCTTTTTACCACCTCTTCGGCCATCCTTTCCGCCACTAGCAGGCTGAAATTTAAATTTAGGCAAGTCTTTGCTTCCATATACATAAAATCCATTTTAATTTAGGCTCAAGGTGGTTTTGCGCCAAACCATAAAATCACTCCTTGAAAACCATATTTAAATAATAAAATCTAAAAACGAAAATGAACAAAAAATTAAGACAAAAACATACAAGAGAGGTTTTCACAAAAATTGTTGGCACCAGATGGCAGTGGTAAAGATGGCGTCAATTAAAAAGGTAAAACTAAAAAATTATAGTAACTTTAGTAAAATTACAAAAATCTTATGCCAACCTGTCTATAAACAAATTTTTAAAAATAATTAAAATAACAAATAAAATACCACATCTAATTTTTTTGCGGCAGCTAAAATAAAAAAGAGCTTTAGCTTTATTAACAAATTATCATTTTAATCAAATCAGTAAAATGATAAAAATTCTACCAAGTGTTTCTTTTTTTCCTTTTCTCTAGATGTCAAGCGAGCGCTATTAATGTGAACACTTTCTTATATTGTAATATAAAATTTTTTAGTAAGATGATTGTTTTCGATAACTTATTCTGGTGATTGCAGTTCTGATATAATGACTAGTTCACGAGTCATTTGCTTAGCAGTACTGTGATTGGGAATATCAGTAAAACTGACCAATATATTGCACTATTTTCTATATTAGCATTGCTATGTTAACTGTTAAGACATTTCATAACAACATGGAATAAATTATCATTTTCATATGTTTTTCCATCTTCTAAAATTTTTAAATTTTTAATCTCCTTCTCCTCAATCAGAAACATAATTTTTCAAGCAAAAAATTACTATTATTTGCCGTAATATCAGCATTATATTTGAGTTTTATTTGCCTTAGCATTTGCTTTTTATTTATTTAAAACGCTTTTTTTTGTAGCCTTCAACTTACGAATACGCTCTATGTATTATTTTTTTCTAGATCACTAATTTTTGTCCTTAAAAGTTTTAATAATTTAATGTCTTTGTGTCATAAACTGCAGATGGTTCAATAATTAATAAAGTTAAAGCATTTCTTAACTAAAATTAAAAAAATTAAAAAATTTACACCCTGAAAAATTTAATTATAGATATTAGTCTATCATTGACTTTTTTAAGACAACGAATAATAAGTATTTTATATAACTTATATTAAATATACAGATATACGAAATATAGATAAACTAATAATTCATTGTTTTAACGTATAACAATAGAATAAGTTTAAACAATTCAATAAGTAAATGAAAAGTAATTATTTATCAAGCTAAGTTATCAACTCAGATTAATCATTAGTTTAAGGGATTAGAATATGGACAAATTAAGTTTACTTATGTTATATTATTATTAAGGTGGTCCTTATCTTACCAAGTAATACACTTGGTAAGATAAGGACCACCTTAACAAATACTTCACTTTCACTATATTTCAAATAATGTTTCTGATGTTTTCAATTATTATAGATTTGTTGACAATAAAATTAATGATAAAAAATAAGCTGTATTTATTTACTACTAGATGGCAATAATTTAGTTTTTCTAATGATATAAGTTATGTTCATATTTACTATATGCGATAAAATTATAAAAAAAATTGTGGTAATGGGTCGTCCATAAAGTACGTACGCAAATAGGGGGAGGGGGAGGTCTTCAAAAAGCGTATGAAGGGGGTTCAAATTAAAAGTTCAAATTAAAAGTTCGTACATCGATTTTCTAATTTATCACAATTAACCAGCCGATCAATGGAAAAGTTAAAATTCTGACTAAAGATCCTAGTTTGCCAACATAAAAAGATGTTTGGTATAGGGAATAGAGGGTATAGTTTCCCTCAATGCCCACACATGCATCGGGGCCCGTTGTTTTTTTTTAAGTTCCATAGGACGCTTTCACGCACTGTGCAAACTCCAAACTTAAGTATGTTTGTACCTATGCCAAATGAGGAGGCCTTGCAAAAAATTAAGAAGGTAGAGGCCTGGAAGCAAATAAGCCCCCCCCCCCCAAAAAAAAAAAAAAAAAAAATGAGGGAGTGTAAATTTTGTATGGTCATATTTTTTATAATTTACAATATTTTTCTACGAAATTTAAAATCTGTCGATAAACTTAAATTTAGTTTTAAATGGTAAAGTTAAAATTTTATTACATTAGTGCCCTCACACTTGGGCGGGGTGGCAAGCATTTTAAGGCTTATTTTGTTCCCAGGCCTCCGCCATCCCAATTTTTTGCAAAACCTCCTCTCATTCGGCATAGTTATACTTAAGTTTTAGAGCTTGCATAAATTTCACATATTAGGCCTAGGCATACCTATGTTTGGAGATTGTGCAAGCTCCAAGCTTAAGTATACCTATGCCAAATGTGTGAAAGTGTCCTATCTAGAACATCAAAAAATCCTACGGGCGCCCATGCACACATGTCACCCCTTATATACTGGCCCTAAGTTAAGCGTATTTCAGGCTAATCGATAAAAAACAGGTTTAAGCAGTGCCGTGGCTATGGGTCGGAGGCCCCCCCAAAAAACGTGTCATTTGGGTCTCATAATTCCCAAATTTTACCGCTAGGTTTTGCTAAAATAAAAACCTCCTTAAATTAGCAAAAGGGCACAAAATTTTATGCCCCCTTTTCCCCTCCCCTTCCCTTTTAATTAAGTGTTAAGGGTAGCCTATCCTCTGCACTGGGTTTTAGTCTTTGTTTTGGATATTACTAATCTCGCGTAGGACTCGTTTTTTACGGACTTACTAAAAAAACGTCCGTCAAAGGTTTTTTAACATTTGCTCGTAATTTTTAAAAATGAACCGACATATCTTGACTAAAAGTTTGATGCTTAATCAACAGCAAAGTTTTTAACAATAGTAAAGTCGATAAAAACGTTAGCAACTATAAAAAAAAAAACTTCAAAAAAAAGTTCAACTATTCTTCTTTTTAACTAATATCTAAGTTGATATCAAATTCTAAAAACTAAGATCACTTAAGACGTTAGCGTATCACGTTAGCATAGCACGCAAAACAGACTTAAAAAAACTTGGCACAGATTTTGTCGATTCCGTAAAAGCCGAAATTATGCATATATATATATATATATATATATATATATATATATATATATATATATATATATATATATATATATATATAAATATATATATATATATATATATATATATATATATATATATATATATATATATAAATATATATATATATATATATATATATATTTATATATATATATATATATGTTTATATATATATGTTTATATATATATATATATATATATATATATATATATATATATTTATGTATATATTAGATTTCTAACATAAAAGTGATTATCAATCAATGTCTCTCTAAACATAGTAGTTATTAGACGTGATGGCATTTTAAAATTATTGAAAGCCATCCATCATTTGTTTATATTTCTCTCTTTCTAACTCTTTCTCTTTATTTATATTTTCATTAATTTAAATTATATATTTTAAATTAATGAAAATATAAAGTGAGGTATTTAAAAATTATATTTTATATAAATTTTAAATACGATCGCGTTAAATAGTATATTTTTCATTCGAAGAAGAAAAGTGATCGTCCATAAAAACGCAACGCGAAAGGAATTTAAAAAATAGAAGTAGGAGATCATTAGGGGCTATCCATAAAGGGCGTCACTATTTTTTAGACAATTGACCCTCTCGTCCCCCCCCCCCCCCCCCTGTGTCACCGGTTGTCCTTTTTCCTTATACCCCTTGAAAAGGACGTCATAAAATCCTGACCCCCCCCCCACTCCCTATTTTTAACCTTAAAAAAATTTACTTCATCTCGCAATGATGTTTGAATCTGCTGCTACACCTTTGAAAAATAAAATTAAAATTATTCTCATACATTATCTTCTTAGAAACACATGTTTACATAGTTTTCCATGTTAATTAAACTAAAATAAAAAGTCTATAGGGAAGTTGTCTTGTGACAACCTCCCCCCCTCCCCTTATCCTTTTTTGTCCTTTTTATCTCGACCCCCTCCCTTTTGGATGACGTCCTTTATGGATGACCCTTTAGCTCTTTTGCGCACCGGTTTTCATTCAACTTGAAGGGTTTTTAAGTAAATTTTAACCCTTTAAGTAAATGAAGTAATACCTTTTTGTTTTTTTTATGTTACAATATTTATATTTTTTACGTTATAATCTTTTTTGCACGTTATAATATTTATATGATCAATCTTTCTATACTTTAAATGTTTTAAGAGTATTCTTTTAAAGCTAATTATAAATGTATTCAGGTATGAACACCGCTATTTAAGTTGTACCTTAAGTGTAATAAATTTAGCGTTAACTTTTTTCGTAATATTATTGATTTCTTGCATGTTAAATTTTGCGCATGGTCAAAATCACTAAATAGACGCGAAATTTAATACACTTAAGTGTAGACTTATTTTAGTTTTATTTAATTTTATTATTCGACAAAAAAAAAAAGTTTACATTTTCGCACATCAGGTTATGGAAGATATCTTGTTTTACGCTTGTTGCCGTTGTTGCTTCGGTTCTGCTTTTTCTTGGCTTGAGTTATGTTCGCAAGCAATACTTTCAAAAGCACTTTACTTTAAATTACAGTATATCCTCGAGCAAACCAATAGTTAATGATGTCTGACAAGATTAGTTTAATTGAAATATTTAGCTTCTCCTTGTACATAGATTCCGAGTGGTTGAAACAAATAACATAATTGTATAGGAAGTTTGATAAAACATTTTTTTGAAGTTTTTTTTGGTTGTGGTTTTTTGCAATGCTTACCTGTTTTATGTTACTTCAACAAGCTATCTTCCACATCTTGACATAAAAACAAAGTACTGTCTACTGAAGCGAAGTAATGTCTACTGGCGTCCAAAGTTTTACTTATCTCAGTTTTTAATGGCACTCGTTTCGAAACTCGGTGGAACTGAAACAAACGTATTAAGTTGTACTATAAATTTGATTACGTCATGTTTATACTTAAATATTTTAATACTAGTTTGATTACGTCATGTTTTTACTAAAATATTCCTTTTAAATAACTGTTTTTTTTTAAAACTTTTATTTTGTTTTCAACTTATCATTAATTGTTATTATAGTTGTCATTTTTCATATTTATTATTTTGTTTTAGTATTTATAGTATGGCGATGTATTTTAAAATTTGTTATGATTTAAAGCATTTAACTTTGTATTTATAAAGTGTAGGTATATTGCTTCACAGCATTTATTTAAGAATACTAATTCTATATTATTACAGCATGGCATAATCGAAAAGTTTTTTAAAGAAAATGTTGATAATTTTAGTATTGCAAAGTGAAATTCAGGTGGTCGTGGAAATCGTTTTTGTTTTATACGTTTTTTTGTTATTTATAAGTTTAAGATATACAATGAAGAATTTTTTTAAAAGGTTTGCTGAAAATGATCTAGAAGGATCATCGATCAATAAAAATATATCTAAAGATTTTTTTTATGGACAATTTCGAATTGTATTAATAAAAATAAGTTTTATTTATCTTATGAAATTGATAAAGTATTTGACGCAGTGACGCATTTAAGAGACGGAGTTTAGTGGTTTTACCACTTATACCCACTTAATATATGCATTTTTTTTACTCTTTGTGTGAATATCTGTATACCAAAAAATGAAAAGAATAAATAAAAATTTAAATAAGTAATTTAAATAAGTTGTGCTTATTTAAAGAAAAGATTTAAAGAATTCCTCTAAAATATAGAGAAAATTAAAACCGTTCTGGTAATAAAAAATATTTAGGTAGCTTAATAAGTAAACATTCACCAAAGGTCAAATCTGTATTGTATTTTAAATGGTACGAATTAATTACAGTTTTACAAAGTTACTAAACAAAATGTTAAATTTTTGAAAATATTTAATTTTAAAGCTTTTACGGAAAAATAGTTAATAAGAAAACTACACGTAAACTATTGTTATTCGCTATTCCATTGTCCTAACAATGGAGTTGTTAGGACAATGAAATAGTTATTCCATTGTCCTAACAATTCTAATAGTTATTCGCTATTCCATTGTCCTAACAATGGAATAGCGATTTGTATGATTTTGCATGACAACTACGGATTTGTCTGATCCTGCATGAAAGTTCTTATTTTGAAATTAACATAATTATTTTTTCAAAATAATTATGTTAATCTATTTTAGTATGCAATATATGGTGTAGGTCGTAGGTGGAAGTAAGGTGTTGACTTTTGGTTAATGTAAGGTGTAGATAGATGCAAAATATAATTAAAGTTTTGATAAATTCTAAAAAGTTTTTCAGATTATTTAGTTGTAAAAGATCTTAGGACAAGATGTTATAAATGAACGCTGCAAAACTCGCAAGCATTTCCATGTTGAACTAAAGAAAATGTATTGGTGATATCAATCGCTTACATTTTCCAGCTAGTAGGATTCATTTTTTTGTGGCAAATAACTCGTTAAACTTTAATCTTAGATAAGAACTGCCAAATGAAATATATTTTTCGAGTTACGAGAAATTTTAATTATATAACTTTACACAATTTAAAGCATAATTACTCATGGTTGACAAGTAGTTATGGATTAAAAAGAGCTTTGACTAACGCAGAAAGGTTGGTGGGTTATCCTCCTGCTTTTAATAGTTTAAAGTATCTAGTTGACGAAGAACCCGCTGATATTCTGAGCATTGCAAAGAAGCTTGTTGGGAGCGGTCATCCGTTACTTTCATTTGCCCGTGATATGCTTTCTCCTAGTCGAGATATAAACCTTCGTCTTGGTGGTTTATGGGTGTTACTTATATCTAGAGCTGCCGGTGAAAGTTCTGCAATCATTAAAGAGGAATTTGTTAATGGAATACATCTAAAACAACGGATATTGGCTGAAACATGTGAAATGATTAACATAGGTTTGTGTTTTTTTATTTTTTATTTTGTTTGTTTTTTATTTGTTTTGTTTGGTGTGTTTTTTTGCTTAATTTAATTTTCTTTTTAGCATTCCTTGTACATGGCTGCATCATTAATTTAGATAAGTTGCAGTACCTTGAAACTCTCAGTAAAAAATCGCTTGAATTTGGAAACAAGCTCTCCGTTTTAGGAGGAGATTTCTTACTCGCTAAAGCGTCAGTTGAATTAGCTAAACTTTCTAATACCTATGTTGTGGAACTTATATCGCAGGCAATTGGCGATAGCGCCGAGGGAAATGTGTTAGATGATTTTTGCGCTGAACAAATCTGCAAGTGGAGTGTAAAAGAGTGGGAAGTGCATACGTTTCAAACGAGAGGAAGCTTGCTTGCAAATAGTTGCAAATCAGCGCTGGTTCTTGTCGGGCACCAAGAGCAGGTATAGTGCAATTTGTCTTAATAGTTTATAAAGCTATAATAAATTACAGAATTGTAAAAAAAAAGAGTAAATAAAAAATTTTTATACTTTTTAGTTGCAAAAACATGGTTAAGGTGATTTTATGTTGCTTGTCAATGCATTTTAAATCTGCATTTTATTTTTTGAAGACATCTTTACCTAGGGTATTTGAACCATTGTTCCGGTTTTTACGTAAGAGAGCGCAACGCCAACCAGGACAATGGTCACCCTATTTCTACCTAAAAGTCATACAGTTTAATTTTTTTCATACCACAAATGCTTTAAAGCTTATCTTCATTAATATAAAAAAAAAAAACAAGTAACATGAAACGAACAGTGTAGCTATTTTAATTAATAAGTTTTTATGTATTTTTAAAATAATTTAGCATATGGATGCAGCCTTTGAGTTTGGAAGGTACTTGTCAGTCGCAGTGCAGTGTGCAGAGGACGTTAGAGCATTTCAAAATAGCAAATCGATACTTAAACCTACTAATATAATAATAATTTTAGCTCTTCTTCAAAATGAAAAAACAAAAATCTACTACAACAGCTATATAAAAAATATGAATATTGCAAGTAGTAATGAGTTTAAAGAAAATATTGCGAGTCTTTGTGACGGTATTGCAGACAAAGCAAAATCATTGAGTGGAAACTACGCGAAGCAATGTATTGACATTATTCAAGCGTTTCAGCACAAGGATAGCATTAGAGCAATAGAAGATATACTCAGCACATATATTATAATTGAAGATTAAACTCATTAATTTTTTAATAAATATTTAATATTTGTCCATTTTATTTTATAATACAAATAAATATTTAAATATTTGTCCATTTTATTTTATAATACAAAATTGTCACGCGAAAAAGAACACTTTTAATTATTTATAATAACCAAAAAATGCTTTCTTTGTTTTTGTGAAAACTAAACAAAAACATTTTGAATTTATTTAAAAAGACGAATAAATTAATAGAAAAAATTTTTATGTATTAATGAGTTTACTTTTTTTTTTGGTTTTAGTTATGCGCCACTTTGAATGATCAAATTCTTAAATTTAATATAGCTGTGATATAAACTTAATAATACTCCCTTTGACCAAAGGAACTTCCATCTATTATATGGAAATTTGTTTTGTTAATAGTAATAATATTGAGGCAACAATCATTCAATTTGTATGACTATTAAAGAAATCATTGAGTACTCGAGTATCAAACATTAGATTTACGGCATCAAACACTAGGGGTGGAATGCAAGAAGCGAACTTGAGTGAAGTTCTTCTTGAACTTTGAAGTCAGACTTTAAAGTTTAAACATTAAAGTCTGAATTGGCGAATTCAGATGGAAAAAAATTTAAAAAAATCGTGCATGAGAAAGTCAGACTTAAAAAACTAAAAAAAGTGTTAATTTGAAGGCGGAATCGGAAAAAAATACTTTACAACCGATATCGGTTGAAGGAAAACCCTTTAAATAAAGCAAATTAACTAAATATTTTGGTTTACTCTATATAATAACAGGGTAAAGTGAAATAGCGATTTTTTGTCAAAAGAGTTTGGCGCATATTACTTCAACAGAGACAAAGTTGAGGAACTTATCAAAAGAATGTTCTAGTCACCGGCAAAAAAAACCTTTCAGCCATGGTGAAGTTTTTACGCGTACCCAAATAGTCTCTGGGTTTCAGAATACTGGCTTGTTTTCACTCGATATCAATAAAATCGATCAGCCAAAGTTGTAAATTGCTAATACGTTCGAAACACCGTCATTTGAACCTGTGCTCTTACTAGAACGTCACAGTTGCTTAACATAGAAATGGTATTATAATCATTGTTATGCAATATATTCTTTGCTGATAACCAGCAAAGGATATGTGTCTGAGACAATGTTATTATTGTTCTTAAGTTGTTTAAATTTTTATTCAAAAAATGAGTTAACTCAAAGAAGACTGCAAACAGACTAATTACCGTAAGATTGGGTGGCTTCGGCCCTAAGGGATGACTTTAGCCCAAGCGTTTTTTTTGTTTAAAAACGATTTAAAATCGATACCTCAAGGTATGCCGGCTAATGTTTTGTGGGAAATTTATCATTTATTTAGTCTATCTCGAGTCTTTGTGATACTATTGTAAATTGCACTTTAGAAGAAGCACCTAAAATCCGAATTTGTTTAGGTGTGTAAACTTTTACATCGTATTAAAGAAAACCTTTTTAGTGATCATTTATAGATATTATGGTAGTTACTATGTTGGAATGATAAATTTTGTAGTAATAATTCAATAGAAAATCAGTATAACAGTTTGTATTACTAAATCAGTATAAATGTTTGTAGTGAAATTTGTTTAGTTCTTAGTTAAAATATGCCACAAGTCAAATCGTGGAAAAAGAAAATATTTATGAAACTATACTTTAGATCAGTTAGACAATGCATTAAAAGATTTAAAAAATGGTTTAATTACTCAAAGACAAGCAGCTTTGAAATACGATATACCAAGATCAACATTAAAAAATAAAATAAAGCGGACATATCCTAAAAAGTATGGTGGTCAACAAATATTTATATCAAAAGAAGAAGACATGTTTAAGGCATATACAATAAAATCATTTGAGTTTGATTTTCCTGTTGATAAATTTGATTTAAGATGCATAGTAAAAGAGTCTTTAGAGAAAAAAGTTATACCTCAAAATAGTTCAAAAATAATTTTCCAGGTGGCGATTGGAATCGATTTTTTTTTTAAAGAAATCCAGAACTTACAGTAAGATTTGCAAGCAACATAAAGCGAAAGAGAGCAGAAATAGGAACGACTGTGATTTATAACTACTTCATAAATCTATCAAATGAAATAAGTAATATATCACCTGATGATATATGGAATTATGATAAAACCGAATTCAGCGATAATCCAGGTAAAAAAAAAATATTAACAAAGCGTGGATGTAAATATCCTTAACGCATCATTAATTCTACAAAGACCTCATTCTCTGTAATGTTTTGTGGTAATGCTAATGATGAATTACTACCACCTTATGTTATTTACAAAGCAGAGTCGTTATGTAATACATGGATGTAACATGAGCCACCAAATGCACTTTATAACAGATTAAAAAGTGGTTGGTTTGACTCAACTTGTTTTGAGGACTGGTTTTTCTTTTTACTTATTCCAAGATCTGAGAAGGCTCAAGGAAGAAGTGTCATTATAGGTGATAACGTATCTTCACATTTGAGCATTGTAATACTGGATGCATGTCAAAGTAATAAAATTTGTGGCATTACAAGCAACCTCTACTCATCTCACGCAGCCATGAGAAAGGAAAAAGAAAAAGAGTTGCTTCTCTTCCTAAACATAAATTACCTAGACTTTAAGACCGTTTAATTACCAACTTAAATAAACATGGGAATGATAACCTTAGAGCTGGTTTTCGCAAAACTGGAATTTTTCCATTAGACAAGTCTCAAGTGCTTTTACGACTACCATGTTGTAATGTAGGTTTAGACTCGACTACTGATTTAGTAAGCCAATCATTTTTAGATCATTTATGTAAATCACTGGATGATCCCTCAGATGATTCTAAAAAATCAAAGCGACGTAAAGTATGTGCTGCCCCAGGTAAAAGCTTAAACAGATTCAACAGATATATCATCTTTTGTTATAAATGAAAATAATAGATTAAATACAAATAATGTAGATACACTTATCAGTATTATAAATAATAAACCAACAACATTGACTTTGCTGGCCCAAGTACAAATGCTGGAACTACTGAGACTTCTAATCTAATTTTTGCGGATGTAAGTTTAGTCGTAGAAAGTCATACAGAATCTTTAGATCATTCAGCATTAGGCAAAACGAATTTTTAAAATATTGATAAAACAAAAAATGTTTGTAAAAGAAAAAGTTATTAAATCTTGTAGAGAATTGTTATGTAATTGTTATGTAATTGTTATGTAAATTGTTAAATGCAACGGAGAGTTAAAATCTAGACAGGTTTGTTTATTTATTTTAAATTATTAATCAATTAGTAAACTTTACAACTAATCAATTTAATAACTATTATTATTTATTATAATAACTACTGAATAATTTTAAAGAAACTTTTGAAATTTTTTTTTTATGCAGTTGAAAAAATTAAGAAAAAATGGAGCAGAAATTACTATTATAAACAAAAACCGACTTAACTGGAAATTGTCACTACCAGCAGAGCAACTCTTTATTCCTCAGTCTGAAATAGTTGATTTTAATTTTTTAAAACTTTATTTTTGTCATTTTTGTTTACTTTATACCTAAACTGTTTTGTTCACTTGGTATTTGTTTAGTTTGTACCTATATTTTATTTACTGTATACTGGACTTTGTTACTAAATCTTTTTTTGTCACATTATTTTTGTAAATTTATTTTCTTTGCCTAAATATTGTTGTTTTTATTGTTGTTTTGCTTCCTTTAGTCTTTTTTTACTGGGTTGGGCCAATGTCACCCTAACACATTAGAAGGACGACTTCGGCCCACCATTTAAACCAAACAAAAGATACTTCAGGTAAATAATATTCAAATGGGAGACAGATAGTTCTAATTATCCTTTCTGTGCACTTTTGAAAGTACTTAGTGTTTGAGGAAATAACTTTTGTGGCTTTCGTGCAATACACATTAAGATGCAAAAGATGCAAAGCCACCCAATCTTACGGTACTCTGGGAATTACTTTGAAAGTTTACGTTGACAGAAAATTAATTAAAAAAATTATATATATATATATATATATATATATATATATATATATATATATATATATATATATATATATATATATATATATATATATATATATAATATGGCAATAGTATTCTATACAAGGAAGAATAAAATATATATATATAGAAGTAGAGAACAGAAAATTGGTTAACGCAATTTAGATTTCTTCTAATGTACGACAGAAATTTTTTGTGATAGCGGTTAACAATAGTATCAAAATCTGTATAAGTTGTCAAAGAGAAACCTGTTTTTCTTAAGATTTTAAAATTTTTTTAATTAAAGGCTTTGCTAATAAAAATAATAAGAGTTAATCAACAGTTCGAGAGGTCAAAGCGGTATTCAAAATTTTTCAAGAACTGAAACTGTTTTCCAGCAGGAAAGATGGCTAAAGGTTAGTTAAGCCCTTGTTAACTAGTTTCTAATAAAAATTCCAGCAGGCAGGATGGCTAAATTTAGTTAAGTCTTTGTGAGCTAGTTTAGAGAGCAATGAAGAGAGTTCTGGAGAACAAGTTTGTAAAACTGTGATGGTAATGTTGCCCGGACAACAAGCTATAGAAGAATATAAGTGAGAAATAACTTCAACAAGTGGTTGAGATGTTTAATAGTCGATTGTATCATTGAGGTGACAGAAAGAGTGTGGCCATTTGGTTCAATGTACGAATTAGAAACTCTAGAGTGCCTAATATAAAAGGGATACTTAATACATATTTTAGTGCAGGCCTAATTAACGGGAAGGAGGGGGAGGGGGATTTTAATAAAGAGTGGGTGGGAATTGTTTACATGGCATGGCGTGGGTAAAAAAGATTTCCGTAAATTAATAAACGTCCCCTCCCGTGTATTAAGCACCTAAGAGTACTTTGGGCCATATAAATTTATCTACTTTTTAAATTTTAGTAAAAGAGAGCAAAATAAGGCTGTTAAAACCAGTCTAATTAAACTCTAATACCATAACAAAAGATTAAAATATTTAGCAATGGTTGCTACAAAATTATTTAATTCTACTTTAGCATTTTATGTGGGTAATGCAATATTAGAATTTTTTACATTTTTGAAAAGCTTATATTAAGACTTTTCTAAGAGTACATTGAAGCTTT